GTCGCACGGACCGCATATACACGCAGCGGGGAGCCACCGCCCAACAGCACTGGGGCCACAGGTGGCCTCGACCGACTCCTCAGCCATCACCCTTGTCCCAGTGCCCCGCCTCACCCAGGACACCTACAGGCCAGGACGCCCGGGCTCCAGCCAGCTGCCAGCAGCCAGCAGCCCACATGACTGTCCACTGGAGTAGCCTTGTATTGCAGGGCACCCCTTCCAGAGAGTCACTCCTGCGGTGCCTACAGAAGGCCACAGCTACGTGTTGCTGTCCTGCGCTCCCACACCTTCCTCCACACTGTGCCAGCACAGGGACCACGACGCAGCCCAAGTCCACGGCATCTCCCAGTCCTCGTCCCCCTCACCTTTGTACAAAGCTGGCACAGGGGGACGCTGTGGCCCTTGCTTTCCACCTGACTTCAGGAGCACTTCCTCCTGGTCCATAAAGAGCAGAGGCCCAGGACCCAAGCCCACTTCACAGAGGTGCAAGGCTTCACCCGAGTCCACCTGCAGACGCAGCCCAAGCAGGGAGGAAACAGAGGGTCGCGGGCCTGAGGCGAAGGGCCAGCCAGGATTCGGCGTCAGGAAACAAGCTGACATATGAGCACAGGGACGCCCTGTCACACCAGCACCAGAGTCAGGGACAGGAGCCCGGCCAGGCCACTGCCCTAGAACAGACAACAAGGGAAGAAGATGGGCTGGCCTGGGTCTGACCACCAGGGACCTGGATCCCCAACGATCAGGACCAGAGCCGAGCTCTGCTGCTGGCGATAGGAGTATGATGTCACATGCTTCTGACAGGACAGATGTAGATGGCACAGACACAAAGCAACCAGCATGATGACCCAGGTGTCCTGAGGGTCCATGCGCCAGCCAGCAGGCAACGTGGAGGCAAGGGAATGGCATGCAAGGAGCAGCCTGGAGGCCGTGTGGCTGCGATGCGGGGCGAGATGGGAGCGGAGCAAGCCAGACACCCTGAAATGGTCAGGGCAGAGTGGACGCTGACCTGGCACCGGTGCCCAGGACATAGGTGAGAAACACCGCGGCACCAGGATTTGGCTCTCCTCCCGCTCCTTCCCACAGAGGCTGGCCTCCCCGAAGAGCCAAGGAGCAGGGGGAGGCTGGGCCGTGGCCCAGCGGTGAGCATGTGCCTCCTGCGAGGTCCAGGTCCACCCAGCACCATGACAAGAAAAGCAAAAGAACCCCACAGAGCAAAGAGCACACCTGGGTCTCCCCGGAAGCAGTCAGACACTGAGACCATCTTCCTGCGGTCACGCGTCACAGTCCCAGGTGGCAGGAGCCTATTAGTCGCTGCGTTCCTGGAAGGACACCACCCTGGGCAACTTGGTCCTCACTGGACTAGTCCCTCTCCGCCACATTACTCCTTGTGGCAGGTCTCCACTGTCCTGCCAGTCAGACAGTGTGTTCCCCAAAGCCCCTGAGACTCTGCCCCAAGAGCCTCCAACGCATCTGTGTGCTGAGAGATGCTTGTTCCATCAGGAAGCCACCAAGAGCATGGGCTCCACAGCCGGCTACGTGGACAGGCCAAGCTGGGCACAAAGCAGCTGTGGGAGCAAACGCAGAAGTGAACTGAAGGAGCTGGATGTGGTGAGCCTCGCTACTGAAGAGGCTGAGGCAGGAGGATCACAAATCCAAGGCCAGTCTCAACTACTTGTCAAGACCCTGTCTCAAAATAAAAAGGGGTGGGATGTGGCTCAGTGGTGGAGCACCCCTGGCTTCAATCCCCAGGACCATGAAACCACAAGCAGCAAACAACAAAGTAACAGAATGGAAAAGCAGGAAGAGGCGATTCCTAGGTAGAAGAATGAGACTCTAGAGCCACCCCTGGTGACCCCTGAAGAGAAGTAGCAGGTTTTCTGGTGCCACAGCCTCATCTATTCCCTGGAACCACACCTGGGAAACCCAGGGCCCGCCTCACCTCTGACATGACCACAGAGAGGCTGAGGAGACGCCGGGCAGCGAGACCCACACCCATCCGCTTCCATCCCCGCAGCCGCCTGCCCTGGGCAGGAGCAAAGCTGCTTCCCGCAGCAGAGGCGCCTGCACCACAGCCAGCCCACGGAGCCCCGTCACACCACGGTTGTCTCTGCCCTGAATCCATCTCCTGTGCCACAGCACCCAGCCCCAGCCAGGGCATAGCTGTCTCTGCCAGAGTCAGGCCTTGGTGCCCCTCATCACCCCCTGAGCTCTGGGGCCTGGGCTCCTTCCCCCCTTAGCATCCACTCTCTGGGTGCAAGGCAGAGGAGGGTGGTGGAGACCCAGATGCTCCTCCTGGCCTGGCAGCGGACACAGGCAGCAGGCATCTAGGGGACCGCATTCTCAAGCAGGGGCTCAGGTGCTGCACACTCATCGATGTTAACGGTCAAGACCGGAGCTCACGGCTGGGGCGTGGCTCAGAGTGGGGCACTCGCCTGGCAGGCTCGAGGCCCTGGGTTCAATTCTAGGAGCTACAAAACAAACGAACAAAAAGCCCCCAAACAGAAGTGTTCCGGGGCTGATCTCATCAGAAGATGCGGCTGAGCTCGCCCACACCCACCCTGCTGCCTGGTGAGAAAGACAAGGAACTCAAGACAGGGACAGCGCCTTCCCCCAGGCTGAGCCTGTGGCCCGTGGAAGGTGTTCCATAAGTACCTGTGAAGTGACAGACTATCCTACAGACTGCGCTGGGAAGACCGTGAGCTGACTACCTAGCTTCGTTTGGGGTCTTTCTATGACATTCCCTGAGCTGGCCCCATGGGCCAGAAATCTTTGTGCCTAATGCATCGCGCAGTGGGCGTTTCAATGCCAACCACGAACACTCTGCAGGCCAGGAGCCAGGCCTGCGCAGAGCCCTCCATACACACCACGCTGCCACCCCTCGAGCCGGCCTGGTGGGAGAGCCGGCTGGTTTGGTATGAAAACAATGAAACCTGGAGAGGTGAAGTGATTTGCCCAAAGCCACGCAGCCAGCAAGTCGCCCACAACAACGAACATGAACAGGCCACATGCCACGGAAATCCTGCTGCTGTGCTCTGAGAGCGATCATCAGTCCAGTTAGGGATGGATGTTCATTCAGAAAATTTAAACGCATTTTTTATTCTTTTTGATTCAAAGAAAATGTGTAAAACTTTATCCAAAGTAACTGCAGTGTCCTTCAAGTTAACTGCGATTTTTGGATTAAAAAAGATGCAAGTGAGAACACCAAGTGGTGAAACTTAAAACAATCCACTCTAAACCAAAGCTCTCAGGCTCCAGCCATCCCAGCGCCCTGCTGTTCCTGCAGCACCACCCAGTCCAGCTTTCTGCTCCTGGCCCCGATCCTCTGCAGTCACCCTGAAGGGCATCCTAGGCCGACACCCACTCCCTGGTGAGAGCTTGGGCAGCCCCTGATGTCAGATGCTCAGAACTTCAGGGGACATGGGTGGAAATGCTCCACTCTCACAGAGCAGAGGGAGGGGGCATGCACATGGAGACTCAGCACTGTAACCCGCACCAGCAGGCCCCACTGGTCAGGAGTGGGGACCTTGAGCACCATGGTGGTGTCCTCCAGACAGGGGCTGCTTTCCCTGATGACAAACCAAATATTTTAGCCACAGCCACATGAAGTTCTAAGCACCCTACATTTCACATGTTCGGTGTCCAGGCATGTTGACTCCACAGTGAACGGTGACTTGCTTGTCTAGAGAGGCAGTGACCAGTGCTGAGAAGAAGCCACGGGTCCCTGGGTCCCAGACCCCAAACAGAATGATAATGCAATGTCCCTTCTGGGTCCTGAGCTGGCATACCCTGAGGTTCCGCATGTGCTGTCAGACCCCAGTATGCCACCTGAGCCCACGACCCCTCTGCGCCTCTGTGGCCCTGGCGGCCCCTGTCACTGCAGGAGGCCTGGCTAGAGGAGGGAGGGCCAGAGGGCCAGGTGTCTCCACAGGACAGCCACACTGGAGCGCAGCTTGGCAGGGGGTGGGGGGTGGGCAGCAGGTGGCAGACCTGAGACTTCAGCAAGTCCGCTGAGCCCCGGTGCTCCTCCTGTGCCACCATGCTTCCACCCAAAATATTGATTCTAAAATAGAGGTTAATTATTCAATTTCCAGAATGCCCCGTGAGGACAGCCCTGGAGAGCGAGTTCTGCTGAGACATTTAAAATGGATCCCCTTGTAAAGCCTCTGCTCCTGTGTCACTTCCCAGGAGTGGTGGATTAGAAAGGTGCCCTCCCCCAAAGTGGCTTTAGAAGGCCTGTTCCTCTGTCCTCCCTGGAAAGCCAAGAGCCACAGGGAGACTGCTGAGGTCTGTGGCGGTGGCAGCCCACTCGCCCCAGAGAGCCAGGTGGGCTACCCTACAGGTGCCCTGAGGGCCACCCAGCTGTCCATCTGTCTGGAGGACTCTGGCTTCTTGGTATTTCTCACTAAGCCTGAATCAGGCACAAAGGGACCTGGGAGACAGACGAAGAGTGCGCTGCCCGCCACTCTGGGCACTGTCCTCCCAGTGATACTCAAAAGATGCAGGAGCGTGTGAAGAGCAGTTCCCAGAGCCCTTTACAGTGCACTTCAGCAAAGGCGTTTCAAAGGCCGCAGCAGGTGAAATGCCGGCTCTAAAAGAAACATCGGGTGATGGGCCTCACAGGCACAGCCTCAGACTCTCCGCTGCAGACCCACGGCCGCCCCACATGTCCATAAGGACTCTGGTGGCCTCTACCCACCGTGGGGCACAGGCCAGAACGGGCCACACGTCTGCACCTGCACTTGCACGGTGCCCACCCAGCTTGTTCCACACCTGCACCTGCAGTCAGCCAGTGCCATGATGTTCCTGGACAAGCTATCCACTGCCGCATCCCCAGAGCCCACGCAGGGCACGCATGACGTTCTGCTGGGGCTATGGACAATGCAAAAGAGGCAGGTGGCTGGCCACACACTGTCTGATGAACCACAAAACGCCCGAGACACATGTCCCGGGCGTGTGCGAGAGCCACAGCCCCTCCGGGAGGTCTCCAGGGAACCCCTCACCTCTGGAGTGTTCTTCTTGAACTCGCGGCTCTGCTCGATGAGCCGCTTCCTTGACTGTTCGCTTTCATCCTGACGGTTCGCCAACACTGTCGCGGTGGCATCGAGTTCTCTCTGTGGAGGGACACAAGAAGGAAAACAAGGATTGTGATCGTACTTTCTACCAGAAGGGTTCACATGTCCACCTGAACAGGACACTCAACAGAGACCCCTGGGGCTCTGAGACACCCACTCATGGGCAGAGGAGGGACTGGGGCAGTGAGCACCATCCCCCTGCCCCACGGGCCCTGGCTGGAGAAACCCAAGCTTGCTCAGCCTGCCACGCTTGCCACGCTGTTCCCCACGCACACTGCCCAGTGGCCATGCTAAAACAGCACGCACAGAAACAGCGTCTCCACACCAATGGCGGCAATGCCTCCCTCCAAAGTGGCTCACGATGCTCTGAGCAGGCCTCCGGGGCCACTCTCCTGAGTCCCAGTCCCCTTGCTGAGCACAGCGCTTCCCACCAGGGCTTCTGTCTTGCTGTCCTTCCGTGGTGCGGGCCTGGGATCTTACAGTCACATCTGATTTGCTTTCATTCAACAAATATTTACAGGGAGCTTAACTCTGAGTCAGGCACCACACTCAGGACCATTAACCTGTTATTAGTTTTCAAGAGGGACCTTTAAAAGGCAAATTCTAATATAATTATTTCCAAAATCTTGTAAACTTCCCAGAAGCAAGGCCCCTGGAGGGGCAGTGGCTCTCAAGCAATCTTACTTGTCCTGAACAGACTTGGGAACCACTGCAGGGGGTCCCCAGAAGAAGACCTGCCTGGGTGGAGGGCGCTGGGCTCTGCTCTACTCAGCAACCTGACGCTGGTGTCAGGAACTTGTGCCCTGGCCTCAGGGATTCTGCGGGGAGCTGCCAGGAGTGATGTAAAGCAGGCTGCGGCACATGGGCCCAGAAGTGGGGCTCCAGGCACGTGGCAGAAGCACAAGCCACGTGGCTGTCACCAAAGGCCCACCGTCTCCTGAGTTGGTTCAGTTTCTGAAGCTGCAATGGCAGCTCATTCTGCTTTGGATTCAGATGGTTGCTCCAAGTGGCCTCTCGAGGCAAGGACCGGTACGCCCTGCAGTCTAGCAGAGCCAGGATCTTGCTGAAGGCTCAGAAAGGCCACAAGGACCCACCACTGACCCCCCAGGATGCCAAAGTTAAGGGTTTCTCTCCGTCCACCTCCTCAGGTTCCGTGAGTTTCCTTTTTGGTGAGAATAACCTAGTGGGCCCCAAAGCCCTCCTGGTACCACTATGGGGTGGCCCACAGCCAGACAAGATGACAGAGAGCGGGGACAACCACCCAGCAGGCTGTCAGCTCAGGAATCGTGGACAGTGGGGGCGGGAGGCCACAGGGGCTGGGAGGGGAGGTGCCGCCACGCCACACTCCCCCTTTAGCATTTCTGGCATTAAAGCAAAATTTGGGCAAACAAGTCCAAGAGAATATCGTGGGCTAGCGTTCGAGAACAGATGTCAAAGCTATTGCAGAAAAGAGGGAAACACTGAGCATTTTGATAGACCACATTTGAAACGCATCCCAGTCGAGAGAAGGCAGGGAAAAAGAGCAACCACCACGCATGTGGGAGAGCGGGCTGGGACGAGAAGAGGAGCCACAGATACGCAGGAGGCGCTCGGAAATATAAACAATCTGGCTAGGAGGAGGACGCAGACGTCTATATTTAAGCAGCAGCAGAAGAAGTTATAAAAGGAGGCTTCAAGGAGGGGATGAAAGCCAATATTGAAATATGACAAAAACGAAGGGTTGACGTTTGTTCCAGGCACACACACAGAGGACCAAGAGAACGACACAGAGCCCCGGCGCCTGTGCCACCAGGAAGTCCACCTGGGTCAGCCACCCAGTCAGGGCATCTGCTGGCTTCTTTAAGACACTGAGGTGCCAGATTTGGGGGGCACAGGGGGACTTGTGTGGTCTCAGCCTTCCTTCCTAGTGGGGAGTGTGGATAAATGACTGAGGAGTCCCCAGAGTGAGGGGTCTGCAGGCCCCTCTGTCCCTGGGCTCCCCATCTGGCCTCTGGCTCGGGGTCCCTCCCTGGGCAGGCTGGCTGGTCAGGAAGCCTGAGCTGAACAGGTGACAGCGGGCAGACCCACCTTGACCCTGGCATCGCAGAGCCAGTGCACTGGAGGCCACCTGCCACAGAGGCCCCCACGTGCCCTCCCCATGCCTGCAGACACGTGCAGGCCGACCAAAGGGGTCTCCAAATTCAACAGCACATTGCCACCTGCCACCACAGAAACAGATCAGCAGAGGACAGGAGGGAGCCTCAACCGCCCGGAGGGGGCTGGCGGGATTTAAGGCTCACAATCTGACCAAGGCCCCTGGCAGGGGGCGGGGGAGACCACCGAGTCCTCCTGAAAGAAGCCAAGGTGCTGGTTCCCAGGCTGTGGGCACAATGCAGAGGGAGGAGGCACCTATTAAACACAAACTGGACATGTCCCCCTGCCCACCAAGTCCGCCTAGACTCCAAGTGCTCAACACTTGACACTTAACAAGGGAACCTCGTGTGTTGAGGGAGGGACCAAAACAGACCCCTTAGCCCAGGAGTCACAGTCACAGTAAACGGGAGCAGAGTGCCCATATCGGAACCGCTTCAAGTCACACAGAGCCGCAACACCAGGAAGCCACAATGCCCCCCAACAGCAAATCTGGCCTGGCCACTCAGACTGCAGGACGATGGTCCAAAAAATACTCCTGTACGTGCTGTGAAGGAAGGGATGGTCAACAGGACATACTTAAGCAAAAAGAGCAAAGTGTCCAAATGTCAGCACTACTTAAAAGGTCAGAAGTGCCAATGTGTCCACCAGGACAGGCTCCAAGGGAGGAGACCAGAGAAACGCAGAAGGAAACTTATACCCCGGGCTCTGGGGAGGGACGGCCAGCCACCTGCCCTGTAGTGTGTGCCTTCTGACTGCTTTGCCATGTGGCATATTATCTAACAGGGAAGAAGGACAAAATACATTAACTTTTAAACCCTGTCGCCCCAGGCGCTCAGGAGGCTGAGGTGGGGGATTGTGTGAGCCCGGCAGCTAGAGACCAGCCTAGGCAACAGGGGCTCAAGATTCTGTCCTAAAGAAAAAAAAAAGAAAAAAAAAAAAAAAACAAGTCCTATCAGTGTAAACACACTCAGTGACAGAAATACACATAATGGCTTGGGCACAGTCTCATGGTGCACAGCCACAGAGAGTGGTGGCCTGGAAGGGATGATCTCTTGATTCTGGCGATTCAAGAAGGGAGGTGTGGGCTGGGGGTGCAACTTGGTGGTGAGCATGTTCCCAGCTGGCAGGAAACTCTGGGCTCAACCCCTGGCATTGCAAAAACAAACAAACCAAAAACCCTGAGGTGGGCACATCTCTTATGACAACAGCTATTCCTCACACAATGTGCTGCCCCGGGGCCAGTCAGGGGTAGGGGAGACAGTTACAGAAAGCACTCTTACAAGACAGGGCAGGAGGGCCCTGGGGCACAGGACCTTGGTCCCTGGTAATGACAAGCTGGCAGGGTTGCCAGCAGCCCATGAACTTGGAACCAAGCATTTCCAAAGGGACCACGTGTGGCCAGGATGGGCACCTGATGCAGGTGTTTTGCAGTTCAGAGCAGTCACTGGACGGCTGAGGTAGGGTGGCGACAAGATCCAGGGCGAGACTGTGGCTTTTGGAACCATGTGGCCCCAGGCAGCTATGTGGCTAGGCTACTGGTCAGGAGTTGCGGGTGTCAGGCCCAAGGCAGACTCTCTAGAGTGGCTCTCTTCACCCCTCCAGGTGTCCCCACCAACCAGAGCTGATGGCCCTGCTCATCCCCAGAAGAGCTTCAGAAGCCATGGCCCAGACTCTGCACCATCCCCTGGGGAGCAGATGGGCCCAAGCCCATCTGGGAGCCCAAGGGCCACATGCACAGAGGCCCTGGTTCTATGCAGGTGTGTGGGCCCCACCCAGGAGCTGTGCTGGCCACAGTCCTATGTGCCTTGCTGAGACAACCATCAGAAGCTTTAACTCCGAGGACATACAGCTCCTACACTCTAAATCTCTGCAGGACTCCAGACTCTCAGCCAAGGCACATTCAGAACAAGACCAAAGAAAACCACCACATAACTAAGCTATTTAAAAGAAATTTCAGAAAATGTTTTAAACACGTTTTTCATGATGTTACTGGTTAGTCTGGAATTGCTCACCTTCAAGGTACATAAGTCTCACCTTCAAGGTACATAAGTCTCACAGTCAACCCCCCCAGCCCCACCCCCCATCTGCTGAGCCTCTTCCTCAGGCCCCAGGCCAGGACAGCCTCCCATGGGGGACCTTCCCAGGCGTCAGAGGGGCCTCCTCCCAGCCCCTGGGGCCACATAGCAGCCACACAAGTCCTCTACCTTGAATCCAGAGTTAGCTCAACAGCTGTTCTTTTGGGGAGTGTCAAACTCATCCACCAGCATAGCCCAGAGAGAAACTGTAAATGACTCTATTAGTGAAGACTAAGATGGCTCATGCACACAAGGAAAGTCCCAGAGTGTCTGATGGGCAGGCTTCAGGGCATCTTTGTTTTGTGCCCATAACAGCCTTTTGGACAAACAGAAGGAGTTCTGGCTAGAAAGGGGTGAGGGCCTCCAGCCTCCTCCCAAGACCTCTCCCAGCCCCCACACAGAGTTCTGGGGCTGGGGGTGTGGCTCAGTGGTGGAGAACATGCCCACCATGACCCCTGGTCATCAAAACCTATGAAGCCCCCATACAATAGGTGCCAGAAAACCCTGAATGGAGACCCAGGCTCCACCCCACGGCCATCTCTGGCTGTGGCCAGATGACCTGCCTTCCCTGGAGATAATTAAGATAACGCATCCCAAGTTGTGGCATGGTGAATGCTGTATCCAGGCTAATTTTCATTAACACCAGAGTCCCACACCTGGCCTCAGCCCTGAACTCATCTTGCCACCAGCATCCTCGAGCAGGGTGGAAGCTCCAAGGGGCTCCAGTGACTCAGACAACACCGCCTACAGGGGCCCGGGGCACAGCAGTGACAAGGCAGAAGGACCAGGCCAGGGGGACAAAACCCAGAGGAAGAGGGTAGAAAAGACAAA